TATGCCACGTTTTCCTCGTGCAAACAAGCTCGACGTGGTGGGAACGCCAGCGAGCACGTCAATTGCCTTAGCAGTGACTCGCAAAACATTTCTTTTTTGAAGTTGCGTCGTCCCAGTCACAGTCCTGGTGATAGATATCTGGTACCGTTGCCAGGCCAATGGGCGCGCACTGTTGTTACTTTACCTGGTCAAACGTGCTTTGCAAGGGAGCCGAAGCGGCACCTAACCATTGGTGAAAGAAGAAAAAAAGTGGGAAGTTGGAGCAAAGGCGTAGCGGTTAGAGAAGTTCTTGGCTTTGGTTTCAACCCGTGCAGAGAATGCTGCTTGAGCCACCTTCGCCGCAGTACACCGGTGCCAAGCGAAAAGGGCTCATGTCCACATTGCACGATTTAGCTGATGCTCAATAGGTTATATTTTTTTTTTTCAAAATCTAAGCCTTATTTATACTGCTCCAAATATGGCAATTCATGATAAAAAATGTATGATTTTTTCTTTGTAACCTGCTCCAAATTTGGATTTTAGTGCTCCAAGAGTAACGTTTTGCTGCTCCAAAAATTGCTCCAAATTGTATTTCGGCTGTTGCACCCCTGGTTATGCCAAGCGACAACAACGGCATACAATTGCAGCATGGGACAGCCCAGTCCTCTAAATGTGCTCCACATTTAAAAGATCAAGAAAGAACTCAATCTGTGTTTGCCATTTGGTGGCACTTACATACCTTCCAAGTCTCCTGGATTGACCAGGAGACTCCCGGATTTGGACCGTTTCTTTCGTTTGTACGGTTGTCATGAAAATCCCGGGAAATAGAAATTTCTGTGCATGATCTGGCCGCATTGACAAAAAAAGCAGCTCAATCTTTCGAACCTACCCCATTTTGTTATAAATGAGTTCTAGAGGCATTAATCTAATTTACTTCTCAGTGATGAGAAACCCCGACAGATACGAATTCGTGAAATTTCCTAGCCAAATTTCGCTATGTTCATTGGGTCTAAATTCGAATGTTCCAAACACATTTGCTAATCACGGCGAGTGATACGAACTTTAGGACCGAAACTGTCGAACAAAGGCCGAGAGCAGTGTACTCGAAGCTTCGGAGTACGTGTGCGACCGGCGTATGCACTGCCTTCTACAGTTCGTGTGAGCAATGTATGCGACAGCAACAACTTAGAATGTCACGCTGAGAACGGCAAGCAGATCGAAACGTGCAGCGTGCTGCTCATGCACAAATGATGCACGAGAACGATACACACATGATGAGAGCGAACTAATAACGCTTACCGCTCAACACATAACGCGCTGTTCAAACAAAAAACGATGCACAATACGTAATCACAGATATAGATCAGTACAAACTAACAAGTTTCACAGTTGTCATATCTCGCTGTGTACGAAAACCGTGCTCTTTTCCTAAACGGGGCCTGTACAGGTACCGTAGTTACCTTTGTGGGCCGGGCAACTAACGCAATCGTTCCAGTGAAAGCTGAAGGCACACCATTCTCCCCACCAAAGAATAATCTCGCGCGCACACACATCTCACCCCCCCTCCACTGGGCAAAATACGCGTGAGATAAGCGCACGTCGGCGCATTGGGTCAAGCCAGGCGCTGAGAACGGCAAGCAGATCGAAACGTGCAGCGTGCTGCTCATGCACAAATGATGCACGAGAACGATACACACATGATGAGAGCGAACTAATAACGCTTACCGCTCAACACATAACGCGCTGTTCAAACAAAAAACGATGCACAATACGTAATCACAGATATAGATCAGTACAAACTAACAAGTTTCACAGTTGTCATATCTCGCTGTGTACGAAAACCGTGCTCTTTTCCTAAACGGGGCCTGTACAGATACCGTAGTTACCTTTGTGGGCCGGGCAACTAACGCAATCGTTCCAGTGAAAGCTGAAGGCACACCATTCTCCCCACCAAAGAATAATCTCGCGCGCACACACATCTCACCCCCCCTCCACTGGGCAAAATACGCGTGAGATAAGCGCACGTCGGCGCATTGGGACAAGCCAGGCGCTGAGAACGGCAAGCAGATCGAAACGTGCAGCGTGCTGCTCATGCACAAATGATGCACGAGAACGATACACACATGATGAGAGCGAACTAATAACGCTTACCGCTCAACACATAACGCGCTGTTCAAACAAAAAACGATGCACAATACGTAATCACAGATATAGATCAGTACAAACTAACAAGTTTCACAGTTGTCATATCTCGCTGTGTACGAAAACCGTGCTCTTTTCCTAAACGGGGCCTGTACAGATACCGTAGTTACCTTTGTGGGCCGGGCAACTAACGCAATCGTTCCAGTGAAAGCTGAAGGCACACCATTCTCCCCACCAAAGAATAATCGCGCACGCACACACATCTCACCCCCCCTCCACTGGGCAAAATACGCGTGAGATAAGCGCACGTCGGCGCATTGGGACAAGCCAGGCGCTGAGCGTGGGTGGCTTTTTTTCGTTTTTGATTGTTCATATATATATATATAGCTACATATACATACACGGAAAATGATGGCGGCGACGACAAAAAACTAGCCTAGACTGTCCATATAATTGCTATCGCAATAAAAAGGGGCTAGACGCATTTTCGCATTTCTGTCAAAAAGAATCTAGTAGTGAGCAAAGCTTTGACCCACGTATTTGAGGCAGCCAGCTGCGCCGTCCCGTCCGATCACGTGTGTCCCAGGAAGACATACGAGAGTTGTTCTGACGAAAATACTAGATTCTGGTAGTTGTGTTGATCCTTTAAGACTCTCACCTTAGTGGGAAACCCTACCCTCATGTCGTGTGTTTGGCCACTCCAAGCCACTGTAAGACTGCAACGCTGATGGTGGCACTTGCAATTGAGACCCCACCCCCTGTTGTTTTCGCATTGTTTTTTTGTTTGTTTGTTCTTGGGATTTTTTTTTTCTGGTGGCGAAAAAAAAATAGGGCAAATAATTCAGCGCACGCCCCCCCCCCCCCTTTGCAGAAATTGCCCGGATTCAGAATTCTTGGACTTGGCAGGTATGCACTTACTTGCCAGCTCCACTGTTTAAAGGTGTAGAACTGGCTTCATTATTTTTTATTATTATATAATAAAGGGACACTTAGGACAAACATTAACCCCCGTATTCTAGAACGTCCCTTCACTCAATGCTTCACCTTCACTTGAGAAAGCAGATGAAAGCGCTGTCTCTGGGCACGGCAAGTCACTGCATATGAGCAATATTCTGCTGTGATTCTTGAGCAGCTCAGCGTCATTTTCAGCTGAGTGGTGGCGCAGTGCTCAGCTCTGTCAAGTGAAGGAAGAAAGTCGAGTCGAGGAGCGTTTGTGAATACGGGGGTAAGTCTGTGTTGCTTCTTGAATCAGCAGTCCAGAAACCTCGTAGGGCTACTTTTGTGCCATGGAAGTGCTTATTTTGAAATAGAATCACATGCACATCGCATTAGCTCACTTCGAATCGCCCTGGAAGCAGTCTTTCTGATGTCACTCTTGCCGGGCCCAACGTTGCCCGCCTTTACTGCTCGGCCACCGACACTAGCAGCAGCACAGCAAAAATAGTGGAGGCCACACCAACCATTTTCTCTTCGCTTAGTTCAACTGGGCCACGCTAAATGGCACCACTTCTCCAGTCTACCCAGGCGAAAACATAACTTTTTAACCCATTGCGCCAATCCTTATAGTAATGCCAGGCGGTTCTTTTTTCTACGAGTCAAAGAGAAACAGACAAGCAGCATTTTATTACGTGTTGTAATGCACGGTAGCTTTTCTTTCTACTGCAGCTGGTTCAATTACCATCAATTCATTGTAGTCAAATACTGTCACGTCATTGGGATCATTTAAAAAATGTCCCACTCGTGGCGCATGTGGTGTCGTGCACTTGCATTATTTTCTCGCTTAGTAGAGCACTGCTGTTGATAATAGATGTTTTAGAAATTCCAATACATTTATCTTTTACTCTGACGTAAATTTTATTAGCCTTTAATATCCAATTTAGGGCAGGTGCAATTAAAAAAAAAAGTTGCAATAATCTGTAGCCTAGGCCAATGAAATTTATTGCTCTGTATATAGGCTTCTATGCTGATTTCAATATTTTAAAATTAAGTTCTTTTGTTTTCATTTTGAGCCATGGCAATTTGTAAAATATAGTTTGTCTTGCACAAACTTTTCATGCCATTATTCCTTTTATGGTTCTGAGCCATTCATGGCTCATATTGCTCCACATTAACTGTAGAATGCAAATAAGTATCAAAAAAGGGCATGTAAAACATCTAAGTAGACAGGAAAATTTGGAATGTGAGAATGCTTAAAATTCTCAGCCCACACTAATTGCTTGCTTTAGGTTCGTGATACTTACACAGACGATATCAAGTTTTGAAGGAGACACTTGCACCCTTCACATGTTAAGGAATATCTGGACAAAATTTCATCCTGATCTGGTCTTCAAAAGTTCCAAAAACATGCCTAAACTGAAAATGTTGCCCAAAATTGGATCTTCAGAAAAGCACATTTTATATGTATTAGTCAAAGCTAATCTATGTGGCAAAGATATGTTTTTTTAATGATTTCCTCCATCATTAGAGCTTGGCAGTCATTGGTATTTGAGTACGTGGCTTTAGTGAACTTCTCATGTGAAATGCAAGGGCTAGCAGCCAGGTGACCATTTCCAAGGGACTCTAGGCACTGAGCTCTTTTTTGTTTTTAGTTGTCACCATGTGCTCATTAAAGGTGATATTAACATACTTTGAGATTAATTACAATCTTCAGTTTTCCTGTTGTGGAAGTGGAGAAACCAAACTTGTGTAAGCAAATAACGAAAAAATTGTAGTTTCGGAAAAAAAAAACATGTTTTTCGACTCTCATCTTACCTTACGAAAACACTGATGAGTACGTGAGGCTCCTGTTTGTGTGCGAGCTAAATATTGCACTACATGCAGCAGGGAATTGAGAATCTCGGGCCAGAAATGCCAAACACTGTTTTCGTTCTCCGTTGCAGGTTGGTCGTCGCCTACAGAGCAAGTAGAAGCAAGCAAGCACAACAGGTATTGGTTGATTTGTTGATTGTGAGAACATTGTTAGTAGTTGTAGTGTGGAAATATTTAGTCAAATAATTGAAAAGTATAGACCTTTTCATAAAGTGCTTCATGGGTGCTGTCATAATTCTTTCTGCGATGTTTTGAGTAGGTGACTTCCCCAAAAATTCACTGTGACGCAAGCCATTGTACTCTCATGCCTCAGCCTAGCATTGTGGTGTTCTTTCTCATCTGTTAAAAGGCCTATATATCAGTGTGGGAAACTTGTGCCAATCGTGCCAACGTGTGCCAATTAGAAATTACTGTGCCATACTGCTCCAAAAGGGTCTTTTCTGCCTAACTTGCACCATTGCTGTAACACAGCGTGGTTTTGGAACCACAAGTAAAGTTGACAGCACGCTTCTTGAGCGGTTATTACGTGATGGCCGCCGTCTTGTACACGTGCCCTGTAGCACTTGCGTATAGTTGCGCGGCTGCAAAAGCACGAAATCAGCCGATTAATTATTGTGACTTCCGTGCGCTTGCGGTGGCGCTTTTTTTTGGCAAAAGAACGAAGGCCATGTGGCGGCTACCGAAAGGCGCGCCAGTATGACTTATCACCGACGAAAAGCATATGTGTGCGGCTTCGCGCCGCCTTAAGCCTACTGCACGCTTTTAATATCCAGCGACTACCTGAAAGTGCTGAGGCGCAGATCGCTGCCTTAATCGTTGTGCTTGACCATGTTCAGCGTGCACTGCTTTACAGAAATTAGAGGAGCACGTTGTTGCAGAGTTCAGCATCTTGGACTACGGACCGAGACAGCAAGCATAGCACACGCTTTGATGAGGCAACAGCACAAACACGCCTCCATTCGCTGCTAGGAAGGCTAGAGCGTCGCTTGCGGAAAGCTTGCATCTTCGCGTTGATGCAACAGGCTTCTTCCCGCATCTGTGCACGGTCTGAAGCGGTGTGGGCACAAGCGGCTCGGCACGGTGTGTACGTCAAGTTGGTGAAGCTTTGCATGCAACTAGCCAGTAGACGATCGGTTCCTTGCGACTGCACCACGTCTCAAAAAAACTGTGTCAGTTTTTGCTAAGTAGCAGATCGCGGCACACATTTATCGCGGATGGCTGATTATGTCTGTTTCGTCCCTGTCAGTCGCAGCATTGGCTGCGTATCCCGGACCCCGCAGTAGTTTTGGAACACTTTTTGGTGCTGCCACTGCGTGCCATTGGACGGAAATGCGGGAATGTTAATCATTTCTGAACATTGTCAAAAACAAAGAAATGGCTTTGTGGTGGGCACGTTAGGCAATATTTGCTGTGTTCCTGCTTGAGGGGCAATGGCGTAAAAAAGCGCAAATCGGTACTTCGTCATAGGCTTGCGGGACGTACTTTTGTATACTAAACACATGTAACATTCCCGTATTCGTATCAATAAAAAAAAAATCTAGAAAAAAAATTGGCCTCGTATCTGCATGTTAATCTGCAAATGTCCTCAAAAGATGATAGTCTTGCGTGTGGAGAGAGTGAACAAAACATTTATTTGATCTGCGCAAGAAAAACGGTGAATGGTATTCTGCTGAAGGTGCTGCATTAGAGTGCCTCGAGTGTGCAGCGTAGGCGAATGAGCACATCAAGTGGTGTCACACATGAGACATGAGCGCCATCTGGCAGTTTTCTTAGAAAACAAAGTGCGCGGCTCTGAGACGGGCGTGCGCGCCAGTCTCAGAGGTGAGTCACGGGTAGGTGCCACCACCACGTCGTCTCAGCATAGCGTTGGAAACACTCGCCTTTTAGTGCAAGCGTTGCATGGTCAGCGCAGCGTGGTAAACGCTACGGTCCTTAGAATTACTTATGTATGCCTTTTCTAGTAAAAGACTCGCATACAGAATATATACGTGTGTTTATGGCACCTCAGATATGCGCAATAATTGCTTTTTAATTGACAGTCGCACCAGTATGAACGCTGAATCTTGAGCAACATAGGTGGGCGCTGCGGATGGGGTCGGCAATTTGGAGTATCGGCTAGTGCCATTCCAAATACCCAGTACCGTTAAGTGTGGACAAACAGACAAATGTACAGACAGACAGACTAAAATTTTTGCGTCAAAGGTCCCCAAGAAAGACTATCGTCTTTAAAATCTGAAGGGGGGGCTTCAGGGCGGGTTCAAAGCCGGCCCTCGTAGTCCATACATAGGCATACAGGGAAGGAAGGGACAACGCTGCGCGGAACCTTCGCCTCCTCCCTCCTGAAGGGGAACGGTGCACGTGCTTATGTACTTAGTTAATGCATACTATGTTTAGTGCACAGTTAGCCGCATTCCCGGCAGGTTCTCGGCATGTATGTACGTAATAATGAGGTTTTACTGTAATGAGCTTTGAATGCGTCTGTGTGTTCGTGTACGTGAGTGTGTTTGCATGGTGCTATGCACTTAATGCTGCAGCTAGTTTGTTGGTGCAATAGCCTTCACTATCTTATGTAACTGCTTCTGTACATAATCCTACTTGTGTTTATCTTTTTGTGCTTATTTTGTGGGTTTGCTGCTTCTGTCCAAGCGATTACAGTCGAACACGGATATATCGAACTCGAAGGGAATCGCAAATTAGTTCAATATATGAAAAATTTTATATAAAAGAATACAGGCCCCGAGAGCTTACCTGTAGTGAATTATTACCTGCAATAGGCGCATTCAAGAATGACGATTCCACACACACGCAGCAACATAATCATTTATTTGCGTGAAAAAAATCGCTTATCTTGGCCTACTTATTCGTTTTCAAAATGTTGAAGACGCTAGTATCGATCTTATCGAGGCTGTCTAGGTGCGACAGCCCGGTTCTCTCCATGTGGCCAATACAATGGCGAATGACGCCGAACGCTGCTGCCACTTCAGCGGCGGAGTATGCGCATGTAGCCAGCGCCTCGTCCATACGATCCTGGGTCCCTGCGACTGCAGCTACTTTCTCCTCATCAGCGAGGATCGCAACGGCCTGGACATTGCAGTCCCTTTCCATAAATTCGTCCGCAGACACTTCGTGTGGAACTGCTGCTGGAAAGCAAGACAACTTGCGAAACGCGTCGTTCATGGGCTCGTCATTGTCGTCTTCACCGGTTTCTGCAAGTTCCGCCGTCTTGAAGCCTGCCTTGTGGAAGCTGTTGACCACTGTGTCTGTCTTCACGCCTCGCCAGGCGTTGAAGATCTCCGCGGGAGAAAACTTTGCGGAGATTTCCGGCCACTTCTTCGTCATCCACTGCCGGATGTTCTGGCTGCTGACAGCTTCGCTTTTGCCAGAAATGGTTTTGCCAACAATCTGTAGCGCTGCTTAAATCGGTGAAGCCACCCGGTGTTGTCGGTGACGTTGTTTCACCGAATATTTGGCCTTGGCAATATCAGCATCGGCCCATCCACCGGAATGTTCTTCACGCGCACTTCTAAAAACGAGGCATAGAGTGCCTTTTTTACATTCCAGTGGGCAGAAGTGTGCCCATGACAGGCTCCTGACATTTGCTGCTCCGCCGCCTTTACCTTGATATCCGCCTTGTTTTTCAACAAAGTACTCGAAGTGCTCCGTGGTATCTCGAAGTCGTCCTCGACGGTTGAACATTTCTCGCCCACCTCAACCTGCTAATTAGCCTTCAACTTCATCGCAAAGTTAAGGGTCTTGCACTTCTTGACGCTGGCCATAGCTAGACGAGAAGTTGACAATTCAAGGAGTCCACAGCGGCTTTGTACAACACTCACACAAGAAAGAAAGGCTGCACATGTGGTGGTACATAGGCTACGCGACAACAAAATCAACAAAGCACTCGCGAGGTGATGGCCACCTGTGAGGGCGACAGCAAAAGGCGCGCTGTGGTTGGCTGAATAAAATTCGAAAAGTAGCAACAAAAAGAAAAGAAAAGGTTAAAGGAGGAACACATCGGCTCTTGGCTCCTTCGTTCCTGCTCTCCGATCCGACGGGTATGCGGAGATAGCATGAGAGAAAGAAAGAGAAACAAACAAAAAAAAAAAGCTGTTCCGCAAGTTAGAGATTGTGCAGTGCGAGCCCTCTTGCTCTTACCTTTTTTCGAGCATTTCAGGTTTTGGTGGTGGCGTGGTGTTGCGCTGAGGTCGCCAGGCGCTGCGAAAAGCGCATCTTCCAACTCGCAGGCGGAGCCGCGCTGCCGCGGAGATCGCGCATTGTTCAATATATCCGAAGGCGGGTAAAAATGCCGTTTGGTATAAGCGTGCGAATTTCTATACTTTTACAAAGGAATTCCGAGGGGATAACTTGCTAGTTCGATATACCCAAAAATTCGATATATGTGGGTTCGACATATACGTACTTGACTGTATGTTAACTCGGTGAAGGAAAGTGTAAATTTAAGTGCTCGTTTTATTTGTTAGACACAACATTAATGAGAACTTACCGACAATAATGCCAGGGAGAGCACAAGGGTTATTAGAAGTAATTGCAATGCAAATGTGGAGAAAGGAAAGTGGATGAAAAACTAGCTTACCACTTGCAGGATTTGAACCTGTGACCTTCAAATAATGCGTCCGATGCTCTGTTATTGAGCCATATTAAACTAAATTGAAGCTAAATTTTCTTCCTCTGTGTGTGTTATAGAAAGCCTGTGCGTGCTCCAAACATAGCTGCTCCAAAAGCAAATTTTGCCTGCTCCAATGGCTGCTCCAAAATGCTGGAAGGCATTCCCACCACTGATATATGCCTGCAGCACCAAAGAGAATAATGGTTTTCATCCTTGCTCTTCCAGTCTTGTTTATGGCTTAACAATTTGTTTTCTTGTGATGTGGCATTCGGCATGCTGCATTTGTGTGCTTTCAGATGCCACTTGTGTGAGTCGGTAACTTGTCTTTTACCAAATGGGCTATTGCCGATGATTGCACGACAGCATGCGTGCATTTAAGCCACGGGCCTATTTTGTTGCAAACTTCACGACTTAGCCTACGAGTGCCACCTTGTGCATGACAATTGTAGCGTAACTGTAAATGCTACCGTACATGGAGAAAGGAATGCTAAGGAGAGGCCCTTGCAATGCTAGCTTCAGGGCAAGAAGTGTGGTGGAAGTCGCGTGCTATTCCACGGGGGTTGTGGGAATAGTTGGGCACGCCGGCCTTTCGTGTTGTCTGCATCGCTACTCATATGACCGGGTTGTTGATAGCCAGCTTGAGTTCTGAATGTGCATTTTTATGCAGCTGTTGCACTTTCAAAGATGATGCAATGTTTTAGAAGTCTACAGTGAATGTTGATCTTCATGGTTGCATGTTTAGTTTATATCCCTTGAGGTCGAGAGCAGTCATTTTCGAAGCTCACGACCTCTTCTCCGAAAATGGTTGGTGCCGCAGCTTCGTTGTTTACCTTTGGCACTGTGGTGTTGCATGCCTCAGCGAAGGCAGCCTAGAATTCCTAGACGAGAAAGGCAGCGTCTATGTCTCTTAATGTGAGAGGCGGCGGTGAGCCGTTCTCGTGTACGATAATCACAACTATTGAAAAGCAGTAGGCGGCCCACTGTGATTCTCACCGGAGCCTGCCGAGTCAAGAATTAGATCTGCCTGACACAGTAAGGGGATTTATATTTTGAATTATCACTTCCTATTTATGCTTTGCGCGAGGCAACTTCACCTTTTGCCAAGTTTTTTTTTTTTTTTTCCGATATGGTCACAGTCTGCCAACCCGCACTGCTAAGAACGATACTCATGTGCCACATATCGTGACACACATGGGGAAGAATGATTCAGAGATGCTTGATCTGGCTTAATATCAACTCAAATTATATAACATTTCACTGTTACATTAGGTTTCGTACCCTGAACTTACCGTATCTGTTGAAGGAAACGTCATTTTGTGGCAATTATCCGGCCAATTCACACCGTTGCTCTCTTGCATTCGGCGATTAAACATGAAGTGCAAAGCTGCAATTACATTGTAGATTCACAATATGAAGCGTAATGAGGGTACGAATGGCACTCATGGGCTATACAAGCGAGTTTTGCAGCACGTTTGCTCATATTCAGCACAAAAGTCTAGCTTTTCCAGCTCTATCACATGGTGGCGGGGGTGCCGCCCGACGTGTCCGAAATCGGCTCGCCTCCCTATCGCTGGCGCCCGTTGTGCATGCGCGAGCCGCCGTAGCGTGCTCACCATTGCAAGGAGGATTCCTCTACTCTTCCCTACTTCCGGCTTCGCAAAATGTGACTTAGCGGTCTCTCCTCGGTATATTCTTTCCTTCATGCTACCCTAGGTAAGCAGAGTTGCACATAGGTTCACCATCTTCCAGTCCGAATTAGTGCAGTGAAGCTGCCTCTCGTTTGCACAGGGGCTGTATTGGTGGCAGATCCCTTGTCAACCCTAGCTAACAGTACTTCTTTATTTAATTTAGGGTTGCCCTCTATTATTTGTATGTAAACAAATGTCTAAGCAGACAAAAAGGAGCCGTAATGTGTGCGCTGAGTGCAGCGTACACTAAAACCTCATTAATTTGAATTTGGTTATTTTGAAATCCCGGTTAAGTTGAAATATTTCCGCAGTCCCGTATTTTGCAATGCAAGACTGAGCGGATAATTTGAAGTGCCGGTCAGCACCAGTCCGGTTAATTGGAAAACTTTGGGTGCCATTTGCTAATTCTCGATCCCGCTTTTGCCATAAATCCGCAGGAAATATGGCTCTTAAGAGCCACGAGGCAATCAATGTAGCGATACTAACAAGTGGCAGCTGAAGCACCCCTGCCTTGATATTTCCAGCAAAGAGAAAAAAAAAAAAAAGTCTCGTGAAATGTGTGCCTGCAGAAAACAAAACGGGCTTCACTGGAACACAGCAGTGACATGCGGGCAGCATGTCGCATGCTTCACACAATGTCAGCACATCATGATTTACCCATTATTTCTGGAATTGTAAAGAAATATTAAAAGACAGTTTGGCAGAATTCACGATGTATACGAACCTTCGATTGCTAGTTGCTCCAGCTATTCAAGTCCTTACACTGCTGGCAATGTTCTTGCTTGCAACGCCTACTTCAAAAACTAAGTTGATGCTGAGTGATTGGACCTGCCCCCCCACCCGACTGAGGCAACACACCTCTTTGGCCCCGGCTTCATGTAGACGGCACCCCTGGGCTAACCCACCCAGGAAAATTCTGCAGTCACATTTTCCTGCCTCTCTCTCTCTTCATCTTCCTATTTCTCTTTCACTTTTTCATCTTTCCTCTCTACTTCTCTCTTCCGTTTACTTACGATCTTTCTTGGCGGCAAGGCCGCCAAGAAAGATCTTGGCAAGAAAGATTCTTGGCAAGGCTGCCAAGAAAGACTGGGCATCCTTGTTTGGATGCCCAGTCTTGGCTATTCCAAATTAGGTTATAGTAGCATTGTACAGATGGCGTTGGCAGGATTTGACTTGCATCTCCAGCCATGTCCCCTGGTTAAGCTCGGTGGTGGGCACCTGGCACCGCTGTTGAACCACCTGTTATGTTAAGTGCATCCTCTTTCAAGTCTCATTGTAACCTGAAAAGGTTACTCACTGAAGCAGCCATTACATTTTTTGCAAATACCAACGAACACTTTTTGAAATATCACGCACGAATACATAGTTAACAGTACAATGGAAAAGCCAGAATAATCTCTTCATATTTGGTAGCAAGAAACTCAACAGAGAAACTAGGATAAAGCTTCCAAGATAACCAGCGGCGACCTGCTGCTTGAACTGCAGGACAGAAAGCAATATAAAGCCCTCCCGAATGTGACATCCATTGGAAACATCTCTATCACAGTCAGTCCACATAGGCCTATGAATATCATTCGAGGTGTTGTCTCTGGTGATGATGACCAGAGCTCCTTGACGGATGGAAAGAGCAAAATATTGTAAACATTCAAAGAATAAAGATATGAAGGGACAACACAGAAAAAATAACAAAACATTATTCTTGCGTTTGAATCACGTCAACTGCCAGACCACAAAGAACAAGGCTACAGTAAACTCCGAGTGCGGCCATGCGTACCGAACCTCCGAAAGTGCTTTTAAGTGTCAAGGGTACGATCATGGTTCCCTTGCTTGCGAGGTGCAATCCACATGTGCTAAATGTGCATCAAAAAACCACACCTCCAAAAACTTTAATTCTCCATGTCACTGGGCTAACTGCGGTAGTGACTACCCAGCATACTCCCGATCTTGCCCAGCATGGAAAAAGGAAAAGGATATAATTACATTGAAAGTGGTGGAAAACATAATCACCTTCAGGGAAGCTAAGAGGAGATGCTCACTGTTCTACGGCACAACCTATGCTGATGTGGCGCATCAGGGGGCAGTGCCGCACCAGCCTCCACCACTTGCCTGGCCCTTACAGAGCGATCCGATGGCTGTAGCGGGTGCCCCCAAAATGGCAGTAGTTTAGTCTACTCCGCCTACTCGTTAATAGGAACTGGTGACTTTTTTACAGCAAAACCAATTGTGGATCTCTTCCTTCTACTGATGGCAACAATATGTAAAATTTTGAAAGAAATAAGAGGTCCACCAGCCATGCTTTGTTTGATCATACGTGGAATCACCCTATGTTTTCTTGAAACAAACAATCTGCTTGACCAATTCCAGTTCGAGTGTCGAGAAGGTTGATTTACCTCTGACCACCTGGTACGTGTCGAGGCACATACAAGAAACGCTTTTGTACACAATGAATACTTTCTTTCTGTGTTCCTCGATATCGAAAAGGCTTACAACAACTACATGACACTTTGGAATATTGAGATTTATTCAATTTTGGCGTGAGTGGTAGGATGTTAACGATCTCACAACACATGTAATCTTTGCATTAGGTTCAACACATACTCGATCACACTTTTAATTACCTGATTGCCCTCCCACAGCTCGTGGACCAGCCTCAGTGAACCTTGCAGATTTCGGCCATACACCAGCTCTGCTTGTGCAAATTCCGTTCCTTCATGTGGCAAGATGCACAATGCAGACTGCGTGCCAGGTAAGCAATTATCCCAGTTACACTTCCTTTCATGGCAAACCGCTCTCAAAACCCTTTGAGGGTAGCATGCCATCTCTCCACACTGTTGCTTTGCGGATGGGTAAACTGAAATATGCAAAATGTTAATGCCACACTTCTTGAGAAACGTGTTGTGAGTGCTCTTGTGAATACTATCCCCTCATCTGATTGCATTTCGGCCGGGAAACTGAGGTATGAAAATATAGAAAGTAAAGTATCTTTGAGCAGTTTCGAGCAAAGTGACGTGTTTCATTGCATTTGAAACAGGCCAGTTTAGCTCCGGATTCAAACTTTTTTGGACGATTTCCAAGTTCCTTTCTACCCTTTCCAGGCTCTTTCGCCTTGCCTTCAGCGCGTGCCAAATTTCCACTAGTCTCGTATTGCTCTTTTGTTGTGTTTCGTTGTTCGCGAGTGTAAGCATGGGTCGTGGTGTCTGCCTTTGATAGTGAGGTGAGCTATTGGTTTGGGTCCGGAAACCTCGACTTGCCACATACTCGTCGGCAAGCTGTGCCGCTTTCTTTAGAGACACAACTTCTTGCCTATCCTTAACCCACAGTCATATGTTATCCGGCAAGGTGTCGTAAAACTGCTCTAAGCACAGGGATCCCACTTGTGCGCCAAACGAGATTTGAGGTGCCAACCTGATAAAGTCGACGGAAATTGCACCAAACTGCGCCAAATTGTCCGTCTCATTCTTCCGCAACCTGTGGCCGTGGGCCGCATGTAGCTCGCTGGGCAGTTTTATGCGGCTCCCGGCACGGCGTCAGCAATCATAAAATTGCTAGACACTGTAATTGTGGCAGTATTTAAATAACTCTAATTAATGTTTTAATTACTGGAGACAGCAGTCGAGTCTACTGAGAGCATTCTTTACCTTCCTGCGAACAGGCCTATAACACCTATATACTAGGTGTCAAGACGGCGACTGCGTCTCTGCTGCTACCCTCCGCGCTACAGCCGCAGCGTGGCCAGCACAAGACGAGAAAGGAGGAGCATTTCCACGCAAGAGAAGCATATCGGGGTTTCAGAGATAACCAACACTCCACGGCAGCTTTTTTTTTTTCGCTCTCTTCGCGCGCGACATTGAAAGGAGAAGGGTCTCTACTTGTCAGGGATGGGAAAGGAGGAGGTGTGGCACTGGCGCATCGCAGATCGGCATTTGCATACCCGCCAGCTCTTCAGATTTTCCCGTATAATGTGTGAATTTCAATCGTGTATATGATTTTATGAATCTTGCTTGAAATTTACGAAAAATATTTGATTTTCTAATGAAAAAAATAAAAATGAGCAGAATAGTGTGGCCAGGCTACGGCGCGTTGCCCTAACTGGTCGCGAAACCACAAAAACGTCGTTGTGCTATATTCCACCACCAGGAGAGAACTATATGTATTGGTGTTATCGTAACATACTTGCAAAGTCTCCCGCATTGTCCGGGAGACTCCCAGATTGCGACTGTTTCTTCCGTGTGTAGGGTTGCCATGAAAATCTCTCCGAAATCGAAATGTGCGTGCAACATCTGGCCACATTGACAAAGGCCCAGTCCGTTCCAGGCTTTTTGCAAGCTCACCGCATGTCACACACTTCGGGGGAGGTCCCGCCGATCCAACATTGACGTGCGACAGATTCGCGGGCTTCTACTTAACGCTTCGGCCTGCGACGCCTGAAAGGCCTCGAAGTGGCACATCTCAAATTTATTTGCAGGTCGGTCGACCCGTGCGGGGTTGCACGTGTGGTGATGAATGTGCCTGACCAACGTTTTCATAGAGCAGACACGAACATTTGATTAATCAGAAACAAGCATTTAATTAAAACTAGGGCAATAGCAAGGAGATTACAAAAAAAATAACAGAGGAACAAACTAATACGCGATGAAAGAAACAACAAAGCAAACTATGCTCTAAAAGAACACTACAAAAAGCACACACAAAAGACAAATACGCGGAATGTTAATAAAATAACAAATGGAAAGAAAAGAGATACAAGGAAATAATTACAGAAGGATCATGGTCGCGCTTATGAATTTCTAAGTGCGATGCAGCACACACAACCACAATTATTTAAAAGATGGTTATAATAAAATAACGGTTTAAAAAAAAAGTCGCAATAAAAAGTTTTATACGGACCAGGCCAGCTCTTGGTACACGTGGGGGAGTTGACGGGTGCAGCTGAAAACCTTACCAGCTTAGTAGACGAGGAGGGTGCCCGATATTTCAGCCGTCTCAATACGTTACGCGGGTCACTCCATACTCGCCGCATACGCGAGCCTCGCGATACATATGACCACGCTTCTTGCTAGTTGCACATCATCTGCCGATTCCAATGCAGTCCAAACTCTTTCGGGACGTCCCGTCCCCTCCCGAGGTCATTTCTTTTTTTTTCAAACACAAGTATCTTCTTTCGGTACAGGTGTAGGGAAGACGCGGCGGCACCACTACTGCGTCGTTAGTCTCCGGATGTCGTCTTCCCAACATAAAAGCGCCCTTCCTTGAACGATGGGGCACGCGGGTGAGACGAAAATTGCAGTCGTTCGTGACACCGCATTATAAACGAATATGAGAGGTGTTCATCTAAACTTACAGTAGAGTCTTAGCGATGCGAAACTGTGGCGGATATGAATTCGTGAAATTCCCCAGCCAAATTCATTTGTCCATTGGGCCAAAATTCGAATGTTCCGAACACTTTTCCTAATCATGGCGTGTGATATGAACTTTAGTACCGAAACCGTCGAACGAAGGCCGATTGAGCGAAGCGTGCTTAAAGCTTCGGAAGTACGCGTGCGACGCACTGTCTTGTACAGTGTATGTGGTTGTCGTAGCCACAACCGCTGTGGATGAAACCGCGGTCGTTCAACACGGTCATGTATGGCGACGACGTTACTGACAGAACTCTTAAAGTGTGTGCGCGGCCAACGTTTGACCAGTCAAAGCAATGCTGCTTTCCACAAACTCTGTGGAGAAAACCGCGGCAGTTGCGACCATAGATAGCATAAAACGATTTAGTTTTGAAGGCACATGGATTGAAAACAAAACTACCGTTTGCCGCAAACCGCCGCGCATAAAACAAAGGTCGCAGCGATGCGATAGCGATCTATGAGCTCCGAGGGCATGTGGCTGCCGCGGCGGTTGGCTGAAGGGTGGTAAAGACGTGAAAAAGGCTAGAAGCGTTTTGCCATTCCTGTCCAAAGAATCTAGTAGCACTCAAAGCCAAAGTTTTCACCCGCGCTGTCGCGGCAGCCAGCTGCACCATCCCGTCCGTTGACGTGTGTCCCAGGAAGACATACGCGAGTTGTTTTGACGGAAATGTATTTTGCTAGTTGTTTTGATTACGCGAAATTTTGGCCGGGACTATTTGCGGTCCCTCTTTTAGACCATCACTTTAGTGCAAAACCTTACCCTCGTGGGTTGGGCCACTCCAAGCCATTATGAGATCGCAGCGCCGATGTTTGCACTTGCGTTTGGACCCCCCCTCCCCCCCAATAGTTTTTCGCGATGTATTTTTTGTTCTGTTTTTCATTGTGGTGCCCTGAATGGGGGAACATAATTCAGCGCGCCGATTTGACTTATGGCGGCAAAATGTGATTTGCATGTCGCTAAGGGCAAATCTATCACAGCTACAAATTTTTAAAAAAGTCGGTAACCCCTGCCCCTTCCCCCCCTTCCTCGCTCGGGGGTTTTACGAATTTCTCTGTTGCCAGGTTGGCAGGTATGCATTTGAGAGAGAGCAAACAAACATTCCGCCCCAGCCTCTCCTTTTCTTCTTTTCCTTCTTCGCACGCAGCGTTGAGGTGTCGGAGAAGCCCGCCGTAGGATTGGGCGTGTTGCTGAGAGCATTTTTGGTGTGCGGTATGTTCGAATTAATCATCACAAGTGCTTGCACGTTCGAATTACAGGGTGTTTTCTCCCATTGGATTACACATAGCTTTGACGGGACCACAGCGTAAGCTTTAATTAACCGGAAGTTCGAATTCAGTGTGTTCCAAATAATGAGATTCGGCATTAGTAAATTACACTTTCATAATTCCAAAATCACCATGCTTCTATGAGAACTTTCTTGGTAAGCAAAAAAAAAAAAATTCACAAAAAGAAAATTTGAGTGTCCTCACATAGTTGCATCAATGCAATAATTGTCGTGACTTCATAAATTTTGACATTTTTTTACTAGGTCCTACATACCTCTTAAGTACTAAAAACAATGTAAACTAACTTCTGAGATGGCTGTAGACTTAGCGTACTAAGTCTCAGACAATTACTTTGAGTGAATGTCGCTAAAGTAAAAAAAATACACATTGAAATTCGTGGTATCACGTGCAGAGATTTCAGCGCGAAACCCAGAAATAGTTTACAAATAAATGTATTACCGATAATTTCTCTTTAATTAATAAACCTGAGATAGTGAAAAGAATGACGTGAAAGTTCTCGAAGCCATTTTCAGTCTAAAAAAATCCTTTGTTCTAGGTCAGCGTTCATTTAATATTAAAGTGTATATTAAAGTGTGTAGTAAGGTGCTTTGTTCTCCGTAGTGCTCCATTACGAATATGTACCTATGTTAAACTCTCTTAATAGTAAGATTACTTGCTTCAAAACAAAAATTTTACTGCTCTGCTGACCCGCAGGTCGTGGGATCGAATCCCGGCAGCGGCGGCTACATTTCCGGTGGAGGCGGAAATGTTGTAGGCCGGTGTACTCAGTTTTAGGTGCATGTTAAAGAACCCCAGGTGGTCGACATTTCCAGAGCCCTCCACTACGGCGCCTCTCATAATTATATGGCCGTTTTGGGACGTTATACCCTACATATCACTAAATTAAAATTTTGCTGCTGTAAAATGCTTCTAATAGCAAGATTACCTGTTCTAAAATGCTCCAAAACTAAAATCTTACTGCTTCAAAGTGCTCCTAATTGCAGATTACCTGCTTCAAAATGCCCCAGAACTAAAATTTAACTGCTCAAAAACTAATATTTTACTGCTCCAAAGCACTCCAAAACTAAAATTTGATTGCTCCAAAAATTGCTGCTAATCGGCAGTTCCCAGTGGGATCACTGTAAGCAGATTAGGTCTCCAAGTTTATTGCAGTTATCCGCCTTTGCTCCTTTCACCCACTCTGATAAATTATCACTGAGGCTACATGCAAACTCGACAGTCTTCACTAGGCTTCTTTCTTTCCTGTCAAAATCTTCTTCGAAATTCCTCTGTGCAGAGGTAGAAGTGCTGCGCTATTATGCGCCAATCTGACCTGCTGCGCCAGGCTGTGCATAAACGGCAATTTCTGCAATAATTGTTGATCGTAAGTGTAAGCCGCTAAATCTAGCCGATTATTATCGTCGATGGAGCAACACTGAGCGTTGGCTACACAAAGGATGCGGCTGCATCCATATCCAGTAAAGTTTGGTCACATGTTCTATCACGATTACATAATTCGGTTCATTCATGGGGCTTGCTAGTGCTCATCTCATCGCTGTTATCGTCGTGGTTTCCCCTCAAAAGTGGTGGCAACAACATGATTAACTGCATATGATCTAGTAATGCAGTGAAACCCCGATAATTTGTACCACCTGGGGATGTGGGATGAGCATGCACCAAATAGTAGTGCACGTTTAGAAGTACAAATGTGCATCTCCTGACGTGCGCCATCGCCACCAATAAACAAATACAGTACCACAGCAGTTGTTGCCCAAAGTACCAATCAGAAAATCTTTTCTTCATTTTTGTCGAAGTGCCCAAATTGTACTGGGTGGCACTCTCCCACGACCGTTTTATAACATGCAGTGGCCACGCCAAGGAGCATTTCAAAACTATTACAGGACCCGGGATACGCAGCGACTGAGATAACGACAGAACGTACACTATCGCTTTTCGCGATACATATCGATCTGATACTAAGTGACAGCTGACAATTTCATTCTAATATAAAGCGGGTAAGTGGACTCAATCATCTATTAGTTGTGTATATGCTGCGTATGCCGTCGTAGCAGGGCAGCTCGCTGTACCGCGCACATGGATTTGCTGTGGGAATTGCTCGTCTTCACTCGGCTTTATACTGAGCTCAGATGAGCAAAGCAGCTTGTCTAATTAGCGGGGGGATAAGAAATATCTGCCAAGAGGAGTGCGCTGCGATTATTTAGCGGTCATGGAAACAAGACAGGCTTCGCCTATCGCTGGTTTTTTCTGAGTTATTTCTCTGTCGGATGTGATATTTAATGATGAGAACACGCATGCATATACGTACACACACGCGCCTCAAATTTTTACCAGAAATAATTTTGATTGACCATGTCTTGATCCTAGAAAGTTCCTTCAAAACTAACTTGCATTGCTTCAAAACAAACATTCTGGTGCTCCGAACCTGCTCCAAAACTCCATTAACTGTGCCAAAGCTGCTCCAAACCAGCATTATTCCTGCTCCCTAAGCTGTTCCAAAACACTAAAAGTCATTTCCATCCCTGTTTGTGAGAAAAGCCTGTATTTCGCCAGTAAAGTCTACTTCACTGAGCTCACACGCCTGCCTCGGCTGCGCTGAGTCTGGTCATGACTTGCGAGGCCTCTCCCGGTAACAGTGCAAGCAACCATTCTGGCCATGTGTCTTGGTGGAGTGAATGTTTCTCACAGATCCGTTCAAAATAATCAGTTAGATTTCGATGTCATTGCCTGTTTCATACGGCTGAAGTAAACTGCTCATTTTCATGCTATCTGTTTGTGGCGTCACCGCCGTCACACTTCGCTGTAATCTAGCCTGCTCCAGCTTCATTTTCTCAAGCTCAATTGATGCCTGTCTTTCTTCTCTTCTTTTGTGCCGCTCTTTCTCTGCTGCTCTTTCTTTGTTCTCACAACATATCTTTTCCCAGGCTTCAGTGAGCTAGTCCTCATGAAAACCCTCTTCATCTATCGCACTACGAATTTCGGGCTTCCTCAGCCTATTACTGATATCCATACCGAGCTCTGCTGTCAACAGCAACAGCTCTTTCGTTCACACTTTGATATCCATGCCTTTACGAGAGCCGATTACTACTTTCCAATATTAACCGCGCACCAGTGGCTGTAAAATCGAAGCCGATTGCCCGATAGAACCCTGTCCTTATCGTCTGGCAAAACGTAATCGCTCAAGTACCCTTCCAACCTCAAGCTTGCGAAGGTCGGCTCTCCCAGAGTCACGTTGCCAGGCCCACCGGTAACACATCGTCAGGCCTGCTTTCTGCTGCTGTTTGTTTCAAGGTTCCTGAGGTCCCTCACATTCTTACGTTGTTACTGCAACGGTTGTGCCACCCGGAGCCACAGAATTGCTAATCCTGGGTCCACAGATTTCGCTCTTCCTGTCCAATCTCGAGCTTGCGAAGGTCGCGTGAACATCGTGAGGACTGCCTTCCGCTGCTCTTCCAAGTTCCCTGAAGTCATCCAAGCCTTCATACTGTTACCTCCGCAGTTGTGTCCCCCAGAACCACGAAGATGCTTTTTGCTGATCCCAGATCCACAGAAGTCGATTTTCTGCTCACAGTTTTCTGCATGCCTTTTCTTAATCGCACCTCTGCCAACTAGTTTGTTGAGGTTACGTGTGGGTTCTTCTGTGTGGACCAAGCTTGGGCGATGTGTGTTAAGTCATGACTTTGAAGAAGCAACTTAGCAAAACTAATTTATTTACATTGCGAAAACCTCCATCAGTTCAGTAGCTCGAACATCCACTTTCTCGGGCTGCTGCTGTCCGTCCTCTCCCTTGACCCCGATTTTTTTCTATCTCCTCTTCTCTCTAGTCCTGGTGGATTCACAAAAGAAGTAGCCTGCAAGCGGGAAGGAAGGTTTAATGCGTCACGGCTGCTTCTTGTCAACATCGAGAAAGGCTCTGCCAATATTTTGAAGCTCCTGAACTGCGCTGTGGCAGAGACCACCTGTCCAGCGGCTTTTTGCTAGGTTCATTTGGGATATTTAGAACCGCTTCATTTTGTCGATCGACGAGTTCTTTGGTCGCCTGACACTAGAACCCTGTCTTCTGTGGCGCCCACCATTGTGGCTCGAGCTCTCCCTTCCCGACAGGACTAGGGAAACAGAACCCAACAGCTATAATACACCCTGTCATCGCAAACATTAGTCACCGCCAACGCCACATGAAAGACATGGCGCTCTTAAGCAATTTATGGACCTTGCGCCACAAAACCCCACTAATCATCATAACTGAAAGAATGTCTGAAATATGCAACCAGATTGCATTCTGTACAAAGCACAAATGAAAGTGTTGTTCTTCTGGCGTTAACTTACCTAGCATGTTCTAACATTTGTCGACATTTACTTGTCGCGTTCCATTCTCAAAAGTCATTGTAGTCACCGTCAGACTCTCCTCATTACACGTACAGTATGTTGAAAAAAAAAAAGCTTTTGCACCCTCACTGGGATTCCTGCAGTATGTTGTTCCGCATCCTGTCATGTTGGAAAAGCAAATGACAGGCACCTAAGATGAAGACAAACAATTCACAGCGATTAATAACACATTCACGGAAAAGCTGCCTCGTTAGACGCCCCGCCACAGTGGTTTAGTGGCTAAGGTACTCGGCTGCTGACGTGCAAGTCGCGGGATCAAATCCCGGCTGCGGGGGCTACATTTTCGATAGAGGCGGAAATGCTTTAGGCTCGTGTGCTCAGATTTGGGTGCACATTAGGGGGAGACGCAGCCTTTGAAAGGTACAAGGCATGTGCTGAATTTTTTTTTTGTTACCTAGTAGGTACAATAACTTAATTAATCATGGCTTATTTCTGTGAACACTGATAGTGGTTTAAGGCTTGAAGTTGGTTATTAGCTTGATCAGCATTTTCTTGAATATCAGCCAGTGGTAAAAACACAGAACAGTAGTCGAAACTCGAAAAAAAAAAAAAGAAAACTTCAAGTTCATTATTTATAACATCATAGTTACCCTTATTGTATAATGTTATTGTTTTCTTTTGTATATGGTGGGGAACAGGGCCGAAATTAAGGTCTGCATGGCTAACTTTGTGGTTGCTGATGTCACGGAGATAGTGGATCGGAGACAGGCTATCAGAATGGGTTGTTAGTATTAAATTACAGGGGTGGAAGTGCTGTGCCATTTGCGCCATTCTGCGCCAATTTGACCTGCTGCGCCTGGCGGCGCCTAAATGGTAATTTGCGTGTGCAACGCCAAATTTAGTCAAGTTTTATCATCAACTGAGCAATAGGCGTGGGCTACACAAAAGACACAACCGCGTTCATATCAAATTAGTTCGGTGACGCTGCATTTGGGCTCATGCATGATTCTTGTTAAGGTGGTGTTTGTGTGCATACCTTATTATGCGACTCTATGTATGCTTTAACAGCAAAGCTGTTAGCCAAACCATATAAACTGAAAAAAAAAAAAAATTGTTTCACCGTCGAAGTGATGACGGCAATGGCAAAAATTTGTATTGGTAATGGTAATGCCGCATGCGCTTTCTATTTTCGCTAACGCACCATTACGCTTGCAACGCTGCCTTGCGCAATCTACTCCTGAATGACTGGGAACAATCTAGATAATTTTATGTAAAGATTACGCAGCCGCTAGCGATAATGTGGGAATCTTTGATGGTACATGTATAAATGCTGACGCACTTTGCTGCTTGGCAGATTATCGATGGCCAGCGCTCTGGTTTGCAGCTATCAGTCTACAGCTTGTATTGCTTGTAGAGTGACGTTTTGTTTTCCGGGCACAGGTCTGCCCAAATAAGATTCACTCATAAAAACAGCGGCTGCTGCCTTCGTCAACGTCACAACCCCTGTGACAATACGAAGTTTGAAAGCTAATGCTGTTGAATCTGAAATTGCGACACTCTGCAAAACGCTGGTTTAAGAAAGGACGTACGGCTGCTCCAGGGAGAAATTCTCTTCTCACACAATATCTTTCTGTAGAGAGCACATAATGTAGAACGGTTTATGAGCCGCGCTGATGCTTGCGGATAGCGCGCGCGCCAGCTTATCACAACCACATCCTTAGAATCGAAGTTCACCGCTGCTGCTTGAGGGACCCGTCCCCCCCTTCCTTTGCATATTTTTTCATGCTCGTTCAAGATTGACGGCGCGTTTCTTCTCTGCTTGAGCATTTGACGGCAGGTCTAACATGCGGCATGCCTCGCTGTCTAACATGCATCGCTTAATCTCTGCTTGCGCAGTGCTCAGCACTGCAACCTGAGCAATTTTACGCGCGGGTAAAACGTATGATGCGTGGGAAATGTTACCAGCTTGTAGTTTATGCGGAACATGGTGGCGATGGTGAAAACCCGTAGAGTGCCTATGTAGTTGCTATCCTAATAAAAAAGAAAAATTACTTGCCTGGCAGGAGTGTGGCGAGCTCATCTAAATTTCTTCGCGGCTTTCATGTCGGCTGTGGCACTTTAATGACTAGAACATGAGTTCTTTACACTTACTTTTATAGAGCCCTATTGGTTTAGTATGAAGATAACTGTTATTTTATTACTTCATTTCTAGTCTTGAGTAGCTGTTCAGAGCGCCGCTTATGTTTTTCGAGTTGCTGTGCTTTCAACTTCTATGTTGTAAGGTTATATATATATATATATATATATATATATATATATATATATATATATATATATATATATATATATATATATACATACACACATGGGAAAGAAGTGTATACTTAAGGGCTCATTTTCCGTGTTTTGACACAATAATAATGAGATCTAACAGACAATAATGCCAAGGAATGTAGGAATGTATAGGGGAAGTTATTACAACCAATGTAATGTAAATAAGAAGAAAAAAAAGCGGGTGAAAAAATAACTTGCCGTGAGCAGGAATCGAACCTACGACCTTCGAATAACGCATTCGATGCTCTAACCACTGAGCTATCACGGTGGCTATCGCCCCAGCCACTTTATTGGGTTTATATGTGAATTTAAGCGTGGGAGTGTCAGTCAGCGTCATCTGTAGCCATAGCGGCAAGTGTGGAACACCATTTTATGAGCCTGTGTGGCGTCACGTAGCACGTGAAATTATTTTGAGCGGGCAGCTAACCAATAGTCCCTCGTATACAACCTAACGGCACCAAGTCTGCCAGTACGAGACCCTTGTTAATGAATAAGGGAAAGAAGTGTATACCTATGGGCTCGTTTTTCCGTGTTTTGACACAATATTAATGAGATCTAATAGACAATAATGCCAAGGAATGTCTAGGGGAATGTATAGAGAATGTATAGGGTACATTCCTTGACATGCACGTAGCACGTGAACTTATTACACGGAGGAAGGAAAAAGGTAAGGAGAGGGCATGCCCAGCCGGCGCAGGGCGTAAAAGATGTGGCGGAAATGACATCATGGCAGCCATATTCAGTAGGCACAATGGCGGCGTTGTTATGGTTACGTGTTGCGCAGTGAAGCTGGTCTAGCAGTGAGCGGCCGCGGCTGGCGGCGGAATGTGTGCCTCCCCAGGTCTCGTGCTGAGCCGTGGCGGACAATATCTGTGCTCTGCGCCGCGTTATTGGTTACGCAGTGTTCGTCTGGCTGTTACATTACTCTTAGCAACGTTTACAAATCTCTTTGTCCATCACGGGGTTTCAACAGTGCGTAGAACAAGTGCATATCCATGTGTCGTGCGGCGGATGACGCGGATGAAGCAGTTAGTGTTCAGCGAAATGGCGTTGGGCACCATGACGAAGCTGAATGACGACGAACGCCTTGCAGGTCAGTGACGGTTGAGCAGTGCTCCTGCTTGTGACAACGGACGACGCTGTTGAGCCCAGCTAGACGCCGTGAGGACCATGTGCACATACGTAGTTTCGTGTTGTGTGTGTACAGTAACAACTTGCATGTGCGTATTAAAACACCTTTTCTGTTCCGCTTGGTACACTCTCCACCAGCATTGCATGTAATCTCAACGTAACAGCAACCACGTTCAACTGTCACTAGCACCGTGCTCAGTCACCACGGTCGCAGAATGCTGATGCAGGTGAGTTTCACGCGGAACACGGACACAGTGGCAGGACGCTGCGTCAGTCGCGTGGCGGAATGCAACCGTAGAAGGCGCACGACCAATCGTGTTGTCTGTACAGTTGCTGAATTAATGACGTGAAAGCACTCGCCGTTGTCAGTGCATCTAGCGCGCGTTCTTTCGTAGTTGCTTCGTTGTCAGCGAGCTGTTACTCTTTGTTATTACTCGGACGAAGCGATTTCGCTGAAGGTGTCCCGCTGGCTCTGAGTGATGAGCCCAGTTCTATTAGTTTCGGATCGTCACGACACACGCGCTGCGCAGCCCACGTGCTTTCCGAGCCGGAGAGGGAGTCGCGCCTTCTGCTTCGCATTCATATGTAAACAAGAGAGGAGAATTTGCCTACTCAATATGGCCGACTTCCGGCTTCATCGCGGCTTCACAACGAGTGACGTCAGGGCCTCTCCTTACCTTTTCCTTCCTCCATGACTTATTACGAGCTGGCAGCTGACCAATTGTTCCTCGTATACAACCTAAGGCACCAAGTCTGCCAGTACGATACCCTCGTTAATGAATATGGGAAAGAAGTGTATACTTGAGGGCTTCTTTTTTTGTGTTTTGACACAATATTAATGAAATCTAACAGACAATAATGCCAAGGAAAGTATACGAGAGATTGTTAGACCGAATTGTAAGATAAATGTAAAGAAAGAAAACTGGGTGAAAAGATAACTTGCCGTGGGCAGAAACCGAACCTGCGACCTTCTATTTGTGTGTGTGTGTATGTGTGTGTGTGTGTGCGTGTGTGTGTATGTATATATATATATATGTATATATATATATATATCACTTTC